GGTGTGGGTGTGGGAGCCGTGGTCGGCGGAAGCGTTGGGGGCGAAATGGGAGTGCTGGGGATCGAGCCGGCGTAGGCCCCCCATTGTGTGGAAGACGGCCCTTTCTTCGACTTGAGCCAGCACGTGCCACCATTGTAGCTGTTCCAGATGTACACATTGCAGCCATCGACGATCTGGCACCACGTGCAGCACTTTTGGTAGTTGGACTCGACGACACTCGCAATGTCGTTGCCGTAGTAGTCGACGTTCTGCTCAAGGTTGACGCACGCCGGCGCTTTGGCGTCCGAGACCGTCGCGAGCAAACTCAGCGCAAACAACAACAAGCTGGTAGATGCAGCCTTCATGACTTTGGTGCAAATTCAAAAGTGGCCTCCAACTGACCAGATTCGGTCGTGCGACTGTCGAATGAAATATTTTTGGCTACCGCGAGGAGGCGCAACGTTCAGCCGTGCAGTCACGTCCCATCTGGCGCAGGCTCACGGATCAGTTTTGCGTCAAGGCTCGGACGCAGTTGTCCCAGCCCACCCTATCACAAAAAGGGGTGTGACGACCGGAGACGTCAAGTACGATCAGCATAATCTATCACCTGTGACCCGCGCCATCTTTACGACGTCCGAGCACGTAGCACGCCTGACTTTTCGCCGTCATGAACGGATAGGACACGATCGTGGCGGTTCCGACCGGTCTCACCGTCCACACGTTAACCTCAGTGTAACGCATTCAACCGTCCACACGCAAATGATAGGAAACCGGCTCTCCAACATGTGTAGGACACAACGAACCCACACCGACGACTCAATCTTGAAGGCTGAGAATTGTTGTTATATGGATTCTACGTTTGATTTTCAAGTGCGGGGGCGTACCGCTGCTGTCGTTACTTGTACTAGACTCTCGAACATAGGCCTGTAGAGCGCTTTATTGCGATACCCGGCTGGCAGTCGAGCTACAACACCACACAAGAACATTATGTAGTACATGATCAATTCGTATTGTATAACCCAGTGGAATCGTCTCGGTGACCATTTTTGCCCAAGTCGGCGCGTGTCGATCAAAATGCCGTCGAGTTCCCCTTTGCGCCAACCTACACGTATCCAAAAGCCGATTGCATTTGTTGCCGACCTGATGGGAATACCGTCAAAGCAGCGTGGGTAGAGCGTACTCGCATCCAAGTCGTTGGCAAAGACGCACTAATCAGCAGTGAGGGACCTTGGCGTTGTAATGTGGAGGTCGTATACGGTGCCACGAGATCCGCTCGACTCCATTTTTCTATAGGTCGGGGATGGCATCGATCCGGGACCAGCCACACACACGTGCGCCATCGATGTTGTTTTTGTAATGAGTCTTCCGAATTTTGCGCGCGACATCGATGTGTCGAGAGTCTTGATAGCTACCTGACAGATGGCAACGCGTCGCACTCGGCCTATCGCGAGCGTGCAACGCTACACCCCAGAACCCCAGAGCGGCACCCTACATACACGATGCATATTGGTAGAGACAAGATTACTCACTGAAAATCGATCGACGCACCGTTGGCACACAGTCGCCGCGTGTAAATCCCACACCACCAACAGCTACAAGACACAGCGCCATCTGGCAAGGTTGCAGATGTTTCGGCAACGAACCCTCCTGGACGGATCTGCCATTCGCCATTTGCCATTTGGATGTACTCGACACACCTCCGACTACTGGTCGCGACGGTGCTGCTGGCCGCTCTCGCGTCGGCCCACGTCGCGTCCAGCATCCGCAACGGCGCGGTCAAGGCGCGGGGCGTCAACCTCGGCGCGTGGCTCGTCACCGAGTACTTTATGATGCCCAACAGCCCCATTTTCCAAAACGTTTCGGCCGAGAAGCGCGAGCTTGGCGAGCATGTGACCGTGACCGCGCTCACTCGACCCGTCGCCGACCCGCTCTTCAAGGCCCACCGAGATACGTGGATCACCGAGGCCGACATCCAGGAGATTGCGTCCTACGGTCTCAACACAGTGCGCGTGCCGGTCGGGTGGTGGATTTACGAAGATCCGGAGGTACGCCGATGAGCGACTCAGGCGAGTGAAGGCCTGACCCCTGTCGTGGTAGGACCCAGCGTGGCAGAGCTTTTCGCCTGGCGGTCTGGCGTACCTCGACAACCTCATCAACAACTGGGCTGCGAAAGCCAACGTCGCCGTGCTCGTTGGCATGCACGCCGCCAAAGGCTCGCAGAACGGCGAGGGCCACAGCGCTCCGCCAATAAGCGGCGAGTCCCACTTCACCGATGACGCCGAGAACGTCTATGCCACCATGCAGGTACCAATCCCTTTGATGTAGGACTCTTCGAAGGTACTAACTCGCTATTGGAATGTAGTCGGCTCTCTTCCTCATGAACCGGTACAAGGCCAGTCCGGCGTTCATCGGTCTCGAAATGCTCAACGAACCCACCGTTTACTCGGACCGCGTCTACAACATCGACCGAAGCAAGGTCAAGCTCTACTACAAGCACCTCTACACCAAGCTCCGGGCCATTTGTGCCGACTGCGTCATCATGCTCTCGCCGTACTTGAGCGAGCAGTACGAGTCGTTCGGGAACGAGTGGGCCAACATACTGCCGGCAGCGAGCAACAACTGGATCGACTGGCACAAGTACCTCATTTGGGGCTATGAGAACTGGAACGTCAACGACATTATCAACGTCGGGACGCAGTGGATCACGAACGACATTACGCTCTGGCAGAGCAAGCGGCCGACGCCCGTCTTTGTCGGCGAGTGGAGCCTTGCCGCCGCGGAGGGCATTCTCGTCGACCTCTCCAACGCGACGACGATGACGAGATACGCCAACCGCGCGCTCCAGGCCATGAGCAACGCCAAGGCCGGCTGGACGTACTGGAGCTGGAAGATCGACTCGTCAGACTGGAGGACGTTTGGCTGGAACATGCAGTCGCTTTTGAGGAAGGGTATCATCAAGTTGAACGGTTTTGTGTAATGCTAGACAAATTTCAACTTTAGTATTTCTGCGTTTAACGAATCTTATGGCTCCCAATGAAACCATGCTGGGCGTTGTGCGAGCTTCGCTTCGTAGAAAGCGAAGAGTCTCTGTCCTGAGCAACCCACTGCCTCACTGCGCACCGATTGGCTCGTTTGCAGCCAATCCGCGATCCGCATCATTTTTGGCACGACAAGCGACCGCTGGACCAGATGGGCAGCCTGTCCGACGGAGGCGTCACGGCCCGTCTTTCAACAACCGCCACCAGAGACGCACGCAGTGTCAACATGGCACAGATCCTTGAGCCCTCTGCGCCGCTATACAGCACTCGCGGGTAGTACGACGTCTGGTACGCGGAAGGCGGGACCCACGCATCACCAGGGTGTAAACGCAGTGGGTACCTTCAACCCTACTCGCCAACCAATCTAGCTATGTCGCTCTATAAGTATATCGTTTGGCTCTATAACTTATCGCCTTGTATGGGCGCATTTGCGCTGACGCTGCAAATTGTTGATTACACCAGCTCGGATCTCGGCCGACCACAAGCACTCACGTCGGCGCAACCTTGAAGACGCCCGTCGACGACAGGCGTGCAGCCAGCATCTTGCATTTTTCAAATCGCCATGCGAGCGCGACCTCTCGTGTTGCTACTGCTGCTGCTAGCTATCGCCCAAGCGTGGGCACGGCATGTGCAAGACGACATTCGCACCGGCGCAGTGCTCTCTCGCGGTGTCAACCTCGGAGCGTGGCTCATCATCGAACACTTTATGACGCAAACGTCGCCGATTTGGTGGCAAGTGCCCGCCGACAAGCGCGACTGGGGTGAGTACACCGCGATGCAGCTGTTGGGGCATGCGGTCGCCGACCCGCTCATCAAAGCGCACCGCGACAGTTGGATCACCGAGGACGATATCAAGGAAATTGCGTCCTACGGTCTCAACACGGTGCGCGTGCCCGTCGGGTGGTGAATCTACGAAGACCCTATGGTGCGTTCTCTCGTAAATGTGACGCAATCGCTGGAGCTTAGTCGACTGGACGGACGACTGGCGCGTGTTTACGCCGGGCAGTTTGGCGTACCTCGACCGCCTCATCAACGAGTGGGCCGTCACGCACAATGTGGCCGTGCTCGTCGACATCCACGCTGCCAAAGGGTCCCAGAACGGCAACGACAACAGCTCGCCCGTCACCAAGGGCGAGTCGCACTTCACAAACAACGCCAACAACGTGTTTGTGACCATCACTGTACGAAACCTCGATTTGCAGTCCACAAGATCATGGACATAACGTCAATGTTGATGTAGACCGCTCAATTCCTTGTCAACCGGTATGCGGCTAGCCCGGCGTTTCTCGGTCTCGAGCTTTTGAACGAGCCGACGTTCGATCCCAAGCAAGTGCACACGACGGACGAAACCAAACTCAAGCTCTACTACACCAGTGCGTACCCGAGTCTCCGGTCGATTTGCGGCAACTGCGTCCTCCTCATGTCGCCATTCTTGAGTGAACAGTACGAGTCATTTGGACACAAGTGGGCCAACGTGCTGCCACCCCACCGCAACAACTGGATCGATTGGCACAAGTATCTTATTTGGGGCTTTGAGAATTGACCCATGGAGCGCCTCATCACCGAAGGCCCGCGCTGGATCGCCAACGACATGACGCAGTGGAAAGCCCACCGCGGCATGCGCGTCTTTGTTGGCGAGTGGAGCTTGGCCCACGGCGACTTGGTGCGCAACGACCTTCGCAACCCCAACAACATGCGCCGGTACTCGACCAACGCGCTCAAGGCGCTCCACGAAGCCAACGCGGGCTGGACGTACTGGAGCTGGAAGACGCACGCGACCGACTGGCGCGGCGACGGGTGGAGTCTCCAAAACCTCTTGCGCGCCGGCGTCATGGACCTCAAGGCCCTGCACGCGCCGCAAACCGTGTTTGGCAATGCCACCAACGCGACAGCCACGATAATTTTCTAACGTATCATCCATTGTGTACTCGTTTGTAGTAAAATCGACCTTTTGGTCTACTCGAACATCGACCACAACACGACACACA